ATATAAAATGCCATCAATTAAGTCAACTATAAGAGACTATAATGTATTTTTTGAAAAATATTTATCGTTAACTATTTTAGTTTGGTTGGGGGTATAACCAGGGTATTTGTGTGTGTGTGTGTGTGTGTGTGTGTGTGTGTGTGTGATGTGTTTGGTATTATACCTTATATATTGTTATTATGATCACTGATATGGACAGTTAGTTTTGTTTTTAGACATAATATTGTTATTAATTAATTGCTTTAATCAATAATAATAATATTGAAATTATTTATATATATATATTTTTTTTGCTTTGTTTTATATACACTACAAGTATTTATTAATTCAATTATATATATATCTATTTCAATAAATTTGAAATTAATTCAATTAAAATAACTTTTTTTTTAAAGTCAATACTTAATAATAATAAGTTTTTTGTATATATATATATATATATATATACTGAATATATAATTATCTTATTTATTATCAATTTTTTTACATACTAAATGTATTATTTATTTATTATTAGCATCACATTATAATTACCTGGTAGAGTATAAATTAAGTATAATAAAAAAATTTATATAAAGCATAATTATATTGTGTAAAAAATAAATAAATAATAAAAAGTTAAAATTACTGTAATTTAAAAGAAAATAATTATCAATATTATTAATATTCAGTATTAGATTCAGTATTACATGAGTTTGAAAGTTAGAATCTCTCACTTAATAGAGATTATTATATTTAGTTGAAATAATGTCATTTAAATTGTGATGGATCAATTGTAATGGTACAATCATAACAATTAAAAATATATGAGTGATAGATATATATATATAGATAGATTGGAAGGTCAGTTAGGTTGGGGACACCCTCAACAAAATTATGAAAAAAATTTTTGACACAAAAACACTGGCCATACAGTGTAAACTCAGTATCGCACCGATAGTTATGCTCAAAATGTTTCACTTCATTTATCTCTCTCTCTCTCTCTCTCTCTCTCTCTCTCTCTCTCTCTCTCTCTCTCTCTCTATGTTTGTCTCTAAAACAGTCTCTAAAGCTGTTGCCTTCCCCCCATCTCCACCACCACCCGATTGCACACACCATAACATATTTACAGTTAGGCTCTTGACAAAACAATGTCTATATATTATTATACAGTATATACGATATATCACTGAATTTATACTACCTGTCCTCCAACCAATAGCAGCTGTAGAAGCTGTGTGTGTGTATATATATATATAGTATGTGTGTTCACGATGTTTGGTACGACAGTATGACAGACAGATTAACAGATAGACTGTGTGTGTGTGTGTGAGAGAGAGAGAGAGAGAGAGAGAGAGAGAGAGATGTAGAGCACGTCTAGATTACATAGTCGAGTATAAAGCTATATATATATATATATTTATATTACATACACAATGCAAACTAATGCAACACATGTAGAAAACACATATCATTTTATATATATATATATATATCTATATCTGTGTATATGCCATACCATACCATACCATACCGTATACTATCCTTAACCTCCCTTTCCTTGTATTTTAGCATTTTTTAAGAGCACAGTTAACTTCTGTCGTCTCTCTCTCTCTCTCTCTCTCTCTTTGTTGCTCTCTTTCCGTGTCATATATAATATCTCTGTGTTTATCTATCACTCGACACATAAAAAAAACTTTATATGCATTTATTTTTTTCATTTTTGTTGTTGATATATATATATCAATATATATATTTATATATAAATTTGATACAAAAATTTGCATTGAAATATTGTATCCTATTTTGTTGTTGTTATGTTTGAAAACATATATCTATTTCACATTTATATATATATATATATATGTATATTTGTATTGTTTTACTGTTTAGTAAAGTATTGTGTTTTTACTGTACTAAAAAAATTGAAAATGATTATCAATTAGATATTGAATTTGTAGTATTTAAATAAATGTAATATAGTTGAAAATATTATTATTATTTTGCTAATTATAATATATAATATAACTTATAATATAAATAGATTTTGATATGTTATATACAGTATATAAGTTTAAAACAATTAAAACCTTATTTATATATTAAACTATTAAAGTTCTAGCATTCAAACTATTATTAATAATATAAAACAAACTTTTAAAAAAATTTAACATTAGTAATTACAGTAAAAATATACATTTATATTTTAATTAAAAAATTAAAAAAAAACAAACAGAGTGTATACAATATTAACATAATAATAATGAATTTATAATTGAGAGACAATTAAAACTAATTGATTTTTATTATTTTTTAAGTACTTATTATATTATACATATAAATATCATATTTATGACATTATTTTACCATTCATTGGCCACAATATATATATATATATTGATTGTTATGCATGTGATATTGATGTGATTATCAGTATTAACACAACAACAACAACAACAAAAATATAACTTACATTAAATCCAACAATAGATGATTGCAAGTGTGTGTGTATGTGTTTATATGTAAATATCATAAATTTTAAGTCATAAAATCGCCGCCAAAATTGTATAGTAAACTAACTATTTTTAGTGGTATTAGAAGGACAGGTGTGTGTTTCATAGGGATAAAAGTTTTAATCATTTAGCTGCTCATAAATGTGGTGTTTATATTGTCTTTTTCTGGGTTAATATATACATAGACACACACACACACACACACACACACACACACACACACACACAAATACATACATATATACAGTATAAACTGTATATACATACACACGCACACACCTACTAAATAGCAAACATAGACACACATATAAACTGGAGTTGTTTTAATCACTGTTTATGATGACAATTGACTTTATCATAGATTTTACACACATTTCTACTAAGGCTTGAAAAGGTTTTTGATATATTGAATATATAATATAAATTTTATACAATACTAAGTTATTATAATCTACAATATATATAATACTACAGTATATAATACAGTACAATATTACATATAAAATGAAACATTTAATTAACTTTTAAACATATATAAATTATTAAATTATATATACTGTATATATTTTAAATAAGCACAAAACTAATTACTATTATTAGTAGTATAAAATTATATTAGCAATTTTTAGTTAAAAAAAATTTTTTGCTTTTAAATTTACTAGAAATTATATACAATATATATATATACATAATATAATTATTATACAATAATAATAATCATTATCATCTCTTACCCATCATTACACAGTTGCTGATGACAATGATAATGAATTTTTATCGTCAAATATCGTCAAAAAAATTTTATTTTATAAGCAATTTGTTTTTAGTTATATCATATTTTTTGTTTAAAAACACAGATGCGTTATTTTAACAATTTAACACTTTATATATATATATATATATATATAATATATTTTTTGACATTAAAATTGATTGATTGAACCCATAGACTAGTAGCGCATAGATATGTCATACATATTACTTGATTACACACTATGTGTCTAATATCATATCATATCATCTCATCGTTTATCTTATAGTTTATATATATATTTTTTTGGCAAAATTTTTGTTTTAAAGGCATAAATGAAAAGTCAATACTACTTATAATAATAAATAATAATATGCAAATCTTAAACTTATTACATATACATATAGTGTAGTTAGTATACACACACACATGTGTTGTCATCAATTTGCTTATCCTTTTTTTCTCATACATAGCATATATATCAGTACTGTATATATATATATATATATATATATGACATAAAAACGGTTGACAAACTCTAACGTCTAATCAATAAAAAAATATGTTTATTGAATGTTTGGTATCAAATATATTGGATTCAAACAAAAAATAACATATTATATATTCAATACTATATTTTATTTAATTATAATATATATCAAAAAACAACAAATCAACCAAACAAACTAAAAAACGATAAAATTAAATTACAAACACACAGAAAATTTTTTATTTTATTTCTGTTATTATTGTTATTTAAATGTTTGAGAAAATATAATGTTGTTTTTGTTGTTATCAAACAACAAATAAGATTTTATTTTAATAAATAAAATACAATAGAATTAAACTTTTTTTTTGTTCACTTGTTTACTATAAAAACTTTGATTAAATAAAAACTTAATTTTTATTTTAAATTTTTTTTTCAAATTCATTTATTTTATTTTCACACAATCACTGTACAAACTTTATTATACAGTGTATAGTAGTATATATATGTTAAATATTATATATGTATAATATTAATATACCATATATATACTGTATTAATACCTAAATATCAATATACATCATGAATATATATTAAATATTTCAAAAAAAAAAAAATTTAATGGCTCTTAAATTTCATGTTAGAAATCTATTTTTTAGTTACATTACATAAATTATTATCAGTTTAATATACAAAACAAATAGAAAACAAATAAAAAACAATTAAATTTTAAATTTTTGATAATAATGTTAATAATAATAATAATACTAATAGTGATATACCTGTATATAAATTTGAAAACTTGTCATTTAGATAAAAATTTACATTTAATTTCTTTTATTATTATTATTATTTTTAAAATTTACAAATATATAGTAATTTATTTATTGTCAATATTATAATAATAATAATAGTAGTAATAATAATAATAAGACTAAACCAGTTATTTGAAGAAACAAAGAAATTTGTTTTGTTTTTTAATTAAAGATTAGTTATGTTTATATATATTTAATATATATATATATGTTTGTTGTTTAGTGAGAGAGAGAGAGAGAGAGAGAGAGAGACTGACATTTCAATTTCCAAACCAACAAAATAAAACAAAAAATAAAAAACTTACTGTAAATGTCGCGATAGATAGTATCTGTATGTGTGTGTGTTTATGTATGTATGTATCTATGTGTGTGTGTGTGTGTGTGTGTGTGTGTGTGTGTGTGTGTATCTGTGTGTATACACTGTATTTTCATTATACTGTATATATATATATATATATATATATTATATAATGTGTTTAATTGGGTGCACCTAAACATTCACACTCTCCTGAATTAAAATAAGACGATTGCATTGAATATAGTTTATCAATTGGTGTCATCGATGTCGGTCCGCCAAACAATGTCGACGCCGTATGGCCACTGATATCTGTATGATGTATGGCTGCCGCTGTCGATGATACTACAGGATTGTTGTTGTTGTTGTTGTTGTCTCCTATTATAGATAGGCCACCGACACCACCACCGATGCTGATGACTGTATTGCCGCCGCCAACACCACCACCACTCTGGTTGATCAGTACATCCTCGAGACCACCCAAACTGGTCTCTGAATCCATGGCCAGTTCGCTTTTTGTGTAGCCATCGTCTTGCGGCGAATAATAGGATTCTGTACGACAAACGATATCTGTTTGTTTTAGAGGAGTAGGATATATGTATTGTATATTATTAGTAGTAGTGGTGGAGGAGGAGGACAGGGAGTGAGGAAGAACTGGTGAAGAAGAAGGAGAAGAGTATAATAAACGGGACGACCAACCATCAGGACTGTGGCTCATGTAGTGCAACGGCGGCAGTGAAAACTGTGGCGAATCGCCAACTGATGAACAATCGTCGTCATCGTCGTCGTCGTCATCATCTGCAGTCAAATTGCTGGTATCATTGTCTAACATATCTAATGAATAGCTTGTATTATCACCTTTGGATTTATCGCCACTAATCGACGACTGGCTGTGTAGGCCACCGCCCGACTCACTGCCACCACCTATTACTCCTACGCCTCCTCCTCCTCCTCCCTGTGTGGCCTGAATTTGTTGCTGTTTTCTCTGTATCTTTTTTAACTAATTAAAACATTTAATTATTATTAGTATTTATATATATATATATATATATTTATATATTTAGCTAATAACTTACTTTTGCTCTTTGGTTTTGAAACCACACCTGAACTATCCGAACACTTAGACCCGTTTCCTTAGCTAACGTTTCCCTTACCTATAATAATAATAATAATAATGTTATAATAAATGTTTGGATACAACAATAAAAAATATGAATAAATTAATTTTATTTTTTTTATTACCTATATATATATATATATTTGACACATAATTAGTTTGTATTAAAAACAATTAGTTAATTATAATACTAATAATATGTAATTTAATAAATGAATTTTCAATTTATTATTATTATTATTATTATTAGTAGTAGTAGTAGTAGTAGTAGTAGAGTAGTGGACATACCTTTCGGCAGGGCTTTTGGCTGATTTCAAACGATGCCTTAAACGCCCGTCTCTGGGCAGTTGTCAGTATAGTACGCGGCCTTTTCGGTCCCCGTCGGCCGTCCTGCCGGTGCGGTGGTGTACCGTTCATCGATGGCAACGACTGCTGTTGGCCGCCGTTCGGTGTGCCGCCGCCAGGTATCGGACTGGCCTCTTGTCGGCCGCCGCTGTTTGCCATATGAATGAGTGCCATCTCTTTTTCGAAGTCGGGCCTACAAAACAGCCGACCGGCACGTATGACAAACTGGTCGCCCTTTTGCAACTGTCGGCCGCAGCCGACGCACAGAAAACAGTTGATATGATAGACATGATCGAGGGCTCGCATTACCAGTTCGGTGGGTGCTATCGGCTCCAGACAACCGGTACATTTGGCCGCATATAATCTATATATAGTATATATGTTTACAAAAAAAATAATAATTAATATTATAATAACTAATATATATATGATATTTAATTTAATAAAAGATAAAAATAAACTACAACTGAGTGGGCAGTGATATAAAATTGTTGTTAGTTTTTGTCAATAACTCGACCACAGTTTCGCTCATTATTTTATCAATTGATTTGTGAATTATTATATATTTATGAAAATATATATATATTATAATATAAACATATAAAAAACAAATTTGCCGGTTAATCAACTCTATATATATTATATATATATATATATATATATATATATATATATATTTAATTTAATTATTATAATTATAATTAATTGCTTTATTTGTTGTTATTAAATTATTTGAGGTTTATTAAATTTTGTAGTTGAATTATTTTCCAATTATTATTATATTAATAAAAAAAATATAATATATTTTTTATTAATATAATAATAATTTTATAATTTACTCGTAAACCACACTATTAATTATAAACTATAAAAGTAAATGCTTAATGAATATATATATATATAAGTTATATATTATACTATTTAAAAAAAAAGTTTTTAATAATTTAATTTAATAATTTTAACATTCAGGTAGTAATCAAATACGTTTAAACTAAAATTTTTTTGATTTTATTTTTCTAGTATAATATAAACCATATGGACGTGTAATATATTGTGTAATAGTTTCGGTAATTTTATATCGTTTACATATATATCGTTGAAAATAGCATTTGTAAATAAAATTAATTTTATTTTAAATTTATATATGAATTAATTAATTTTACATTTACAGTATTATACACTATTATATGATATCTAGTATAATATCTATAACTTATTTGATTTTTTTTTATAAATACAATATGGTTTTTTTGTGTGTGTAGTAAATATATACAGTATATTATGCATAATTTCATTTAATTATATGATATTAATATATATATATATAGTTAAGAAAAATGGTTCAAAGGTTTAAATATCTATTAAACTTGAAATAATATTTTTTTACAAAATTAAAATATACACTAAAATAATAGATTGTATTTTTAATTATAATTTTATTATATTAATATCAATATAATCACAAATGTAAGGCATTATAAATTAGCATTATAATTTTTTTTTTAAATTTTAATATATATATATTTATTTAATTAAAATTTATTCATATGTATAACTACTAATTGTTATTAATTCAAAAAAAAAATTCTATAAATTAACCATGGACTATTAGCTACCATTATCTAGTCATTATATTATTTAAGTTTTAATTTTAATAATTTTGTAAAAAATACTGTTTTATAATATAATAAAATATTCAATGTTATATACCAGTATATATATATATATATATTGATACATAATATGACTATATATGTGTTTGTTCCTCTCTTTCTCTTTTTCTCTCTCTCTCTCTCCCAGAGAAAACCACAATCACTTTAATTCACAATAAATTTTATAATTAATTAGAAAATAATGCAAAAATTATTTTTTTTAAATTCTACAGTATTATTGAATCCCTTTATTGATTTATTGAATAAATATAGATATAAGTAATAGATAATAATAATAAAAAATATTATATTTTCATAGATATTATTATGCCTATGAAAGTGATGGCATAAAATATATAGTTATAGAGTAGTGTTTATGCATTTGAGAAATATTGTAAACTATTTTATTGTTGTTTTTGGATTAAATAGTCATAGATTGCAATATACAAGTTATATAATATATATGTAGAAATGTGAATACTGTGCACATGTTATGTATGTTAAGCAAAATGTGATGTTTCCTATACTGTTGTCGACCAGATGTCGACAGTTATGCACATTAATCGACACTAATATATCGTATATAAGATAACGTTATTATATCGTATTTTTCAGTTATTATAATTCAATCGTTTTTACGTAATATTAAATAAACATTAAATTTATTAATTGTTTCGTTTTTATTACGCAATTGTCGGCTAACTGGCCGACATTCTGGCGCAGTCGGTAAAATAACTCAACGTCACGACAGTCATCGATAATATCGTATCAACCGTCATGCCGTACACGTACAGTACCCGCAGCCGTACCCGACCGGTAGGCACACCGAAACCACGTGTTAGTCGTCGCATAGGAGCTAACGATCACTCGAAAAGCGGTAAGTATCCTGTATCTGGAGTCAGCGACACCGATATCGAGACCATCTCACTGGTCTCTCGGCCGTCCACATCGAACCGTCCGATACGATCACCGCAACCACCGATCAAACAGAGCTTAAGCGCTAACACTCGACACACATCTCACTCGGCATTGATACGAAACGATTTCGATGACACACCCGCTATACCGTATATATATCAACCAATCATTGGTCTGGTATGCGATAAGTATAGCGGTCCCGACCCGAACATCACCATCGAAGAATGGTTACGCATGTTTTCGCTGCTCACTGTCGATGTAAGCGATAACAAAGAAAAACTTAAAGTACTCGCCCGCCACCTGTCCGGAGAAGCGCTCTCATGGATGGCCGAGGAAATCGAGCCGAACTGGCACACCATGACCTGGAATCGGTGCCGAGATCTCATGATTTCCCGATTCAGTCGCAAATCAACGAACCCTTTAGTCGAAGCAATTCATCGACAACTCAACCAAAATGAGTCCGTCATCGACTACTACAACGATATGAGACGACTGACACAACAGGCCGGTCTCAACGACATCAACGCCGTCGCTTTGCTTACCGACGGTATGCCCGATAGTTATCGACATATATTAGGCGCGTCTCGCTTGAAGACACCTCAGGACTGGTATGAGGTCGCCATCAATATCGAGTCCGCAAAAATAAAGCGCAAACATTCGCGACATAACTCTGGTCGTAATCAAGACGACAGTTATACCGAAAGCTCATCTGAGAGCTCATCACCCGAAGACTACACGATTTGAGTTCAAGTAGTACCACATATCGATTCTCATATCGATACACATATTGATTCTCATATCAATACGATTAACGATGCAAACGAATGCAAACAACCGATTCGGTCGACACCTAAACCCGAATCTACTACCGAAACATGTCGTCCTATTGAGACAATGACTGTCCCTAACATTGTTATGGCGACAGACACCGTCACATTTGGACAAGAAATCGCCGACACCACCGATAAAGACATAGACAATACAGTATTCGTCGAAACAACGCCTAAGACACTACAAGATCGCCGAAAGTTATCGATAAATCACGAGATGCTATCAAATTCGCGATATTTATCGGATATCAAATCGTTTGTGACTACCGATAATCGACGTAACGACATGTCGTTCACGCCGTCAAATCGTTTGGTCACTAATCGCCATCAATCACAACAACAACATCGAAGCCATCGCATTATGAACCGATTCTCAACGACGCCCATCAATCCATCAGCGGATGTTAACGTTTCAAGTGTTCATAGACCGTCCATTTGGCCGTACAAATTGGCAAACATTCACCCGATACGTCCGCACCGTATAGACTCTGGCCTTCGCGGTCGGGGAATTGTCGACCAGATGTCGACAGTTATGCACATTAATCGACACTAATATATCGTATATAAGATAACGTTATTATATCGTATTTTTCAGTTATTATAATTCAATCGTTTTTACGTAATATTAAATAAACATTAAATTTATTAATTGTTTCGTTTTTATTACGCAATTGTCGGCTAACTGGCCGACACTGTATATCTATATATTATTTGTATAATATGTATTTGGATGATAGCTTATGGTTGTCGTCTCTGATGATTATATGACTGTGTGTTGCAATGATTTTTGATCTCTAAATACAGAGCCAATACTCTCTCTCTCTCTCTCTCTCTCTCTCTCTTTATATATATATATACACTCTTATAGCTTAAAGAGTAGTGCTTTTTCATATATATGGCTTTACTTGACTACTCTTACTACTACTACTACTTGTGCTCACATATATTGCTATTAGAGTCGAGAGAGAGAGAGAGAGAGAGAGAGAGAGAGAGAGAGAGAGAGAGCATCTGATGCTGTGTTTTGTGAAATACAAAGCAAAGCTCAATATATATATATATATATAGATATAGAGAGAGAGAGAGAGAGAGAGAGAGAGAGAGAGACGGATCACAAAAGGGATGGAAAAAGCAAAAAGAAAAGAAAAATTGTTGAAATTCTTGTGATCGACTGTTTCTATGGATGACATACATAAGCACTGACTACTACTAAACAGTACAGAGCATTGGCACTACAGGCGGTCACATATATATATATATTGTGTGTGTGTATGTGTGTGTCTGTTAGAGAGCAAAGAGAAAAATCCAATATATGCTAGAAAAGCATACAAAATATACGACACACCACCTAACACACTATCAGAGTGAGTGAGTGAGTGAGTGAGAGAGAGAGAGAGAGAGACACGTACAACAACTAAAAGTTTTATAGCTATAGTAGTTTGCTGTGGTGTGTGTMTCTCTCTCTCTCTCTCTCTCTCTCTCTCTCTCTCTCTCTCTCTCTCTCTCTCTCTCTCTGTATGTGTGTGTGTGTGTAGACTTAGACTTTGATCCCATTTTCCACAAAAAGAGAGTCTCAGTCAGGTTATCATCAATTTCAATTAACGAGGCATATGAATGATGCACTGGTATGGCATCAATTGCTTCAACTATTCAACTATATATTTTACACACATAGACACACACACACACACACACACTGACATTGCATGCATGCATACAGTAGTGTACTGTATATTGCATTTTTGCTTGTTATATATAAAAGTATATAACGGTTACAATTGGTTAGTGCCAAATGTTATGCACATAGTTTAGCATACATAGTGTTCATTAAACACATGAATTTATTTACAAATATATATATATATATCAAACACAAACCAAATGTTTGTAAAATTTTTCAACTATTTAGCAATTTATTGAAAAATCAAAAAACCCTTTGGTCTATAATAAATTTACATATCGTACAG